AAGCCGGGCGGAGAATTGACTACCGGTCCTGGCATGACTCATGTACGCTTGGAGACCGTTGACTTCCGCATACGATGACTCTATTCTGTGCCACTCGGTCGTATTAGTAGTCGATATGCTGCCGAAGGGTGCATAGATGATGGTAGTGAACAAGTGACCATGGGCGGCAAAAGCCGGCGCTCGACGAAACTCCGATCTCCTCGACATCGTCAAGTTCAAGTTCAACTCTTCGTCGCCTCGAGCGCTCTACATCATTCCGACTTGTAGTACACCTCCCACCTCCCACGGCGGAGCGGTTAAGTGCACCAACTACAAAGCTTACAGACCCCCGAGCCTCCCGGCGAAGTTGCCAAGTGTCTTTCGAGCTGGCGCCAGGCTCTGGCGCTGTATGGTCGTTCAAATTTCGTTCTTGACAGGCTGGCAGACGGCCTGAGGTGCTTCAATGATTCCGCCTCTTTTCCGGAGAACATGTTAAGTCTTCCCTTGCATACTGGCGACTGTTCTCGCTGGCCTCCAGGAATAAACAACGTGCGTCTGTTGACATGGCACGGGGTTTGGAGCTCGCTGGTGCAAACGGCGCCCATATGCACGTTAAGGAATACCCTCAGAGCGTCAGTCGACGACATATTCTCTGGTTTGTAGTACATCATTACTGGCATCACTCATCAGTCCTAGCGTGCAGGAGTCTATCCAGAAATTGAATTCGAAGGTGAGCACGTGCGTGCTTCCGAGTCTCTGCATCCTCGGTTCCTTGCTTACATATCATACACCGTCTAGCTTTAGGTTTTCTCAGGACCCCGCTGTCCTCTGTTTGTTCATTTGTGCCGGGATAGGATTCAATGCCCTGCCGGATAAGAGAAACATTCAGTCTGTTGGTGCCCAGTTCAGGTCTTGTCGCGTGCAGATGAATCCCTCATCTGACAGGTTGCGCCGAGTCTATGAGCGTCACTTGGGCGGGAACCTCGCGACCCCCCTGCAAATGTATACCACCGCCCCATGACTCACCATCAGGTTATGTGGTTTGCCACTGCGTCAATTTCTATGCAGTCAACTGTCAGCGCAGTATCCTCCGAGTCATCGAACCCCCAAAATCCCAGCGCCAGCGTGAAACACGTCCTCTTTCTTCCATTCCTTTTCCTCTTGTGATCTGCAGTGGCGGTTTTCCATACGAACATCACGTATCACAAGATGGCGCATGACTGACCCCAGTATTTTCCAGACAGTACTTCCAGTCCGGTGGGACATATAAAAGACTATGGGTTACTCAAGGGAGTCTAGGCCTCAACACCTCTGATTCAAAGATTGTACCGCTACCAAGTCAAACATGCTGTATTCGCGCCTCTTCGTACTTCTTGTCACCTCCATCGCTGTTGCGCCTGCTTTCGCCAGCCCTGTGATCGATGCTGAGAGCGAGGTATGTCGTGACACCGTGGTAGCGATCTGTTCGGCTAAGCACCGATTATAAGGTCGCTGCTCGTGAAGGAGGTCAGTGAATCCTCTTCCTAGACCACTCGCTCGAATTCTGACGTGGCTCGCAGGAAAGACCTCTCGCCTCTCGCCTCCCGAATTATCCAGCCGCAATGAGCTAGTAGCAAGGCAAACAACCTGCGATCCGTACGTCCTCCTCTCCCCTCTCCATCCAACTTCCCCTCTTGCAAGTTACGTATATGCTGACGCCGCCCGTCTGCCGGCCAGGTGCGACGACGCCTGCGACACCGGGTCATCAACTGTTGCCCTCGACACGCGCTCCGAAGAAGACGAGCCGGAAATCCGCGTCATCTACGGCAACGACACCGAGCCGTTCCTCCCAGGCGAGGGCGTCCGCTGGCGCATCGTCCAGCGACAGCTCCCGATCTTAGAATTCGACTGTAGTGCGACGAGTCCCATGCCCGAAGTCTGCGTAAGAGTCCTTGCTGCATGTAAATGTCGCAGTTGCTCACTTTTCGAGTTGGACGGCAGCAAAATATGTGTTATGGCGTGAACTGTGCGTCCTTAACCGTCTTTGAGTCGATGTCAGAGCACTGATTATAGTTATAGGTCGCGGCCACCCGACAACGCTGACGCGCAACAGTGCGTCCGCAGCATGCACGGCTGCGCGCCAGCAGAACACCTGTGGGTCGTCGCGCCCGAACCGGTGCAGCGCGCTGCACAACCCGCCGTACCCCGCCGGCAACAACTGCGATGAGTATCCGTTCGCGAGCACGATCCAGGGTCAGCAAGCGGGCACCGGGGGCCGCATCACCGCCGTCACGCGTAAGTAGCCTCGTAGATCCAGAGACGCGACACTTCGAGCTCATCCCCGCGGCTGCTGCAGGCTGTGTGGTTGTCCGCCAGAACTCCGGTGAGTCTTCTGCGTCCTGTCCTGCGCCGTCGGTCGTTTTCCTATATTGACCAATGTTATCGATTTTTAGTCCAGGGAGGCAAGATTTCCGGCATATACCGCAACACGGTGGGCCCGGGCGGCCAGTACACCGTCAGCTTCAACCTCGGCGGCGGCGCTGGGACGGGCTACTGCTCGACCACCGTCGCCGCGCGCAATTGCGGCACCTTGACTGGCTCGCAGCAGAACAATTGAAGACGTTCTTACTCTGTCTATTCCTTGATTCTCGAAGTTGAAATGGTTCGCGTTTCTTGCGATCTTGATGCACTGTAGTCTGTTTATTGCGTCGTTTTGTTTCTGTAGCTTGGCTTCATAACATATGCGATTGTTATGTCCCATGAGATTGCTCGAAGATCGCTGCTGAGGCAGATAACCCCGTTCAAAAGTTATACCGAGCCAAGCTGGTGCTGACTGGGTGGCAACGACTGGAGGACGTTGTGCCAGCTTGAGTCACCGGGAAGCGCCCGGGCCGGACACAGACATCATGATGAGCGCTTATATTTGTACCGAGCTGTTTTCGTTGCAGCTGCATCATGTTACCACTTGAGAAACCCGAGTTCTCTGGAACATCTTCGCTCCCAGATACACCATGAGCACATGTACACGCCCAAACGGAGACAACTGAATCCTCTTCCCCCCCAGGCTTCGCGCTGGAATGACGTCAACGCCTCCCGGGCCCTCGAGCTCTTATAAATTGAAGCTGCTACTTACTTATCGGAAGCCCACGTCGGCCATCGGACATCCGTCGCAGCCTCGGCAGGTACGTGTTCACTATCATCTATGTCGCCATCTCGTCAACGACGCTAGTTCGTTGACTCGAGCGTACCAACGGCGTCGTGATATAAGTGCGCACTGAGCAGATAGAAAGTGAACTTGAAAGAAAGCTGCGATGGCGGACATCCCGTACTTGACGTTCAACAACGGCGCGAAGGTGCCTTCGATCGGCATGGGGTGCGTACGCATTCTGCTTTACTGTGTTGCGGGACTTGCGGTGCGGGTTGAAGCTGAAGCCGAAGGCGCGTTGCGCGTGCAGGTGTTGGATGGGCCAGGTGGGAGGCGGCGAGCTGGTGAAGGAGATGTGCACAAAGGCGTTGGCGGTACGTGGTATCCGAGTCTGTTCGCGGGCTGCTGGATCTCAGAAGCACGTTGCAGGCTGGGTACAGGCACTTTGACACGGTGCGTTATGGTTTACTACACTCCTATCAGCAGTCGCTGACCGACGCCGCGTCTGTGGTGCAGGCCGCTGGATATGGTGCGTGAAGACGGCCGACCTCAATAATGGGCAGGCATATTAAAATGTGCGCGTAACAGGCAACGAAGAGCAAGTCGGCGCTGCACTCCGCGAGTCCGACATCCCGAGAGAAGAGCTCTTCGTGACCACCAAACTCAGGTGCGCGAGCCCCCCGCGGCGCTTCTCCCCGCGCTAGTTTACTCACCTCAAGAGAACCCGCACAGCTTCGAACACAACCGCGTGCGCGAGCTCTTTGATGAATCGCTCAAGAAGCTCGGGCTCGAGTACATCGACCTCTACTTGATGCACTGGCCAAATGCCATCGTGGATGGTATGCCTACCTCACCACCCACCGTCCAGCCGCGCTCATACCTAAAGCGCCCTCTCTCCAGGCAAGATCCTCACGCCGGAAGAGCACCCTACCATCGTCGACACCTGGAAAGAAATGGAGAAGCTGCTCGAGACCGGTGCGTCCACCGTCCGTCCACAAACACCAAAGTGTAGCCGCAGCAAGACTGATGCTCTGCAGGCAAAGTGAAATCCATCGGCGTGTCCAACTTCTCCATCAAGACCCTCACGCAGCTGCTGCCGCACTGCACGGTCGTGCCCGCGACGAACCAGGTCGAGCTGCACCCGTACCTGCCGCAGCACGCGCTCAAGGCGTTCTGCGAGGCGCGCGGGATCCTGCTGACCGCGTACTCGCCGCTCGGTGCGCCATCCCATTTGCTCGCTCCACTTTTCATATTATCTCATGTGCGAGTTCGCTTGATGTGCAGGCCAGCGGCCGTCCCCGTCTGAGGACAGCTCGGTCCCGGCGCTCTTCGCAGACCCCACGATCACCACGCTCGCGGAGAAGTACAGCACGACGGTCGGGCAGATCCTCATCAGCTGGAGCGTGCAGCGCGGGACCGTGTCCATCCCGAAGAGCGCCAACGCGGAGCGCATGAAGGCGAACATCACGGTGTGCATTCTCCTTTATTCCACGCGGATGCCTTGGTGCTGAGCTGGGTTGCGATACGTCAATAGCTGGTGAAGTTGGACGAGGCGGACATGAAGGCGCTCGATGGCATCCATGAGCAGCCCGGGAAACACCGCTCGCTGCTGGTATACCAGGGCTCGAAGCCGGGCGAGGTGTTTGGGTGGAAGTACGAGTGGTTGGGGTGGAACAGGACGGCGGACGGAGTCGTCGTTCAGTGAGAGGACACTGGTGTGCACGTAGCGAGCGTTCGTCGTTCTATAATCAAGTCATGTAGGTTGAAGCTTGGAGGGCTTCTTATGGAAATATAATCATCGACTCGTCCTTACATCCACAAACTCGTGGGTGATGCAATAAATCTGCTGAGTGCAGTAGTAAAAGAGGACAAAAAAACTCTCAGAAAGGCAAGTGAATGGACACATCCGGAATTGAACCGGACACCTCTCGCAGTCGAATGCTAAGCGAGCGTGATAACCAACTACACCATGTGCCCTTATGATGTTTCAGACTTTACATAATAATAGACATTGTGCAACAAAACGAAGCTCGCCCGCGGCATGGATCATTGATCCGGTCCATGTTCTGGCCTTTCATTAGGTTCATCAGGAACGGTCTGGGACAGTCGACGCCTCCCCCTATGAAGTCATTGCATTCACCCGCGTCGACGGTCGACGTCCATACTCTCGCTGATGGGTCTGGACGGCCGTCTGGGGGCATCTCGTGCGTTCCAGCGTCCGTATCGCGAGGCTAACGATGGGGCGCTGCAGATGCACGCTATGACGGCGGCTGGGGGCCCAGTCGGTATATAAAGGGCTGCCTGCGGCGGTGAGGAGGACATCATCAGCAGCTTCGAACTCGGAGTCGCCTAGACACACACATATCTTCTCCTACAACTCCACTTTCTAAACACATCCTCACTTCTCACCGAAGTTCGAACTCACATTATAAAATGCCTCTCGGACTCACCATGACTGCGCGGAGACCCGTAAGTCGCAGTGGACCTACTTACTGGGGCACCCATCGTACTGACACTGCTTCTTTGACAGGCTCTTCTCCTTTTTGCCACACTCGAGACCATGCTCATCGCAGGCGTCTTGTCGCAGTACCGCAGGCCGAGGTAAGTTCTGCTGATACCTCTTCATTCGCATGAAAAGTTGCTGACTGACGAATGTTGCAGCGCTCTGATGGCCGCCAAGCCACGGTCGCACATCCCCTCTGCGAAGGTCTTCTGGTGATCTTCATAGACCGATAGACAACAATAGCGAACCAATCTGAACTCACCGGGGATAGCCTGTACTATACTGTATTATATTTCCACCACGGACATCTACACCTACACATATAATATGTATCATAATTGGAATCGCAGTGGTTTCCAAACGCACCCTTACTGAATCCTGAGAACTTCAAAGTGCCTGATGTGCGCATGCTATAGTTATAGAGGATTGTCGGAACTTTTGCTCCCACCTGAACAGCGGTAGCGGAACTTGAAAGGTCTGGCGAATTCAGGCTGACCTGTGGGATAGCTGCTCGGGTATCAACAGGCATGTCGTCGACCTGCTCATCTGGTGGTCAGGTCAGGTCAGGGCTGTGAGAGCTGTCACTGGTAGAACGGTGTCCAAATCGTGTCGGGATCACTACCAATGCTTTAGAATGAATATTATTATTATTATACTACATCTTTTCGCAGCGTAAGAACATGTCCCCATCGATTAGATCATTCAAATAGAAATACTTCGTCGTACTGGGACTGTCGAATGCCGGGATCATATGGCAGCCGCAAATGAGATACTTGGCTAATACAAACATGAGTTTCCCTTCGCGGAATACTCGACAGCCATCCCACTTTGTGCGGGGCTTCCATGTGCTTGGTTCGAGATCCCTGATAAGACAGATGTCGAGTTTGGTGCCGGACGGAAGCCTACAAATAAAAATGAACTGAAGACGGCCGTAAGACGCAGCACGTTCGGTGTTGATCATGACACAGTCAAAGCGAGGCCGTCCATTGAAGTTGGGGTTGCACCGGAGGAGATCTCGACCCTCCTTCCAATCTTCGCGTGACTGGAATTTGAGCTCAATGCACTGAAATGGATAGATCTATGCATAATTGGTCAAATCCTATTCCATCTCAGATACATTCAGAATACAGACCTCCGGTTCGCATGAGACTGTTGACAGTTCCCTTCCTTCGGCAAGCGTCAACAGGAACTGCCGAAGCGATGACGCAAAATGATGGAAGCGATGAAATGAGTCTTGAACGGCTCTCAAACTTGAGGGATATGTTCTTGGCTGAGCTGCGCGAAATATCCATTGCTTGTCGCTCTGGGTCTTGTGCGAGTGTGCCATGGTTGCCGGTGCTCGGGTGCGCTCAAAGTTTTGGTCCTCGGCTGCCTTGCGAGCCTTGTCTTCCCGCTCGTGTCGCAATCTGTCGGCGTCATCGACTTGGAGGCGGATGTGTGCGATAGCCTCCATATTAGCATCTACCTGTGACATCTAATCGTGTACCGTCAGGTCTTGCATCAATTGCCATAGAATGAAACTTGTCGTCACTTACTTGTCGCTCTGTGTCCTTGAAATTTGTTGTCCGATATGCTTCTTTCATTTCGCGCTGAAACCCCTCCCCGGGACGTGTAGAATAGTTGATAGTGGCACCTTTATTGCGGATATCAGAGGGCAAGTGTGTTGCCGCGTGTTGTTTTGGGAAATCCCAGTCCTTCCCATATTCGTTCCCGACTTTCTGCGTGATGCACCAACCTCCTGTTACTCAATGATGGTTACAAGCTAAATTGTTACACGTACCTGGCACAGCGATCCGTACAGGACCATTGACCTTCTCAGCAGTATGAGACGTCCCTCGCTCATGCATTTGAGACCGGCATACATCCGGAAGCGAGAATATGCACGTATACAATGAATGAGTGGGCTTGCCCGTGGCAAGATACCAACAATGCAAGGGAGGATGCACTATCAATGATTCTGTGTCAGAAGCGCCAGGCGAGACAGTTGCTGCAACTTTTACTCACCCGTAGTATGTCAAAGTGCTTGTTGCCGTCGGTGTATTCAATGTCTGTCACACACGAAAAGTGAGAAAGGCCTGGCCAAGTTGGAACTAGGTTCATGCTAAATGCAGATTTAGTGGCAAGTTTGAAACCCAAATAAAATAGGATTCTTACTTTGTAGCCAACGTCTCCGACTCCTTCATGTTGGCGAGGACTTGCAGTAATAGCGGCCACAGATGTTTCCCCCATTTGCCAATATCGTCGGAATGGAGGGTGTCGTACGACAGTGCGGCATATGGGTCAGAGTTCGCAATTGACCAGAATGCATTCTGCAATCATTATCAGAATTTATACACAAATTCACATGAGAACCATACCTCGACAAAGTGAAGACCATATCTTTGCAATACGGCCTCCCTAGCTGTCCGAGAAGATGCCGCCTTTGCTTCCAAATATATGGCCTGCATTGACTCCGTAGTGCGTAGCTCTCTTTCGATAGACAGATTATGTTGTTCGTAATTTCTGATGAGGCACCGAGGACAAGGATACGTAGCTGGGGAGGCACGCGTTCCACAGGCCTTGCATGCCTCTTCATGGTCGATTGAGATAATGTGTATGCCTGGATATAGCACTCGTGCGATGTCGTCTCCACACGAGACGGTGTCACCGACATGTGAATGTTCACGGATCGGCTCGAAAACCTTGTCGATGACTTTGTGATAGACGTCAGTCTTGAAATTGCCAAAAGCGATCCTCTCCAGCGGGGTACGCTCGCTTGGCTTCGCTGGGTCAGGTATCTAGGATGCTAGTTCATCAGATAGGTCCCAGGCCGAAATATTTGACGCACGGAAGGCATATATGTCAATAGTACACCGCCACCATTCCCCGACCCGTTACGGATTTCTGATGGTAACCAAAGGGGGCGCATGATTACTGGGTGCTTGGTCACAGTTGTCGATGCTCGACCGCCATCGGACCACACATGCAATGGAAGAAAGCAATGTGGGAGGCCATCGATCTGCGGTAATGTATCCTACTGACGGTCAGTCAACTATATCTCACAATCTACCCATCGCAGCGCACCTGTATTTTCCACCAACCATCTCCCGTGCAAGTCTCATCATAAAGACGGCTGCGTCCGGTGCCAATGTGGATGTATTTTTGAACTGGATACCACGTACTGACCGCGCACAATGAGGCATCCCGCACGCGATCCAATATCTCCTCCCAGGGATCTCTATAATAGAAAGAGAAAGTATAATCCTGCCCATTGAAGGATGAGGTGACTTGACCTCTCTGGAACTAAAGATGAATCAGCATTATTCTTTGGAGAAGCAGCGTGAAGACGAACCCCGACCACAAAGAAGCGAGCGGCAGCCAAAGATGCCTCGAGATCCTTGTGGTTTCTGAATGTTATCACCGTGTGCGAAGCCCAGCTACTGTGAAGTTTTTCCAGCTCCTTGTCGATCGTGGCGTTGGCCTTGTGTGAATTTACGGCAATCTCAGCGTACTCGAAGTCGGCAAGATTATTGAACGGACGCCATGGGCACGATACAGCCGCTTTGATAATGTCGTGCTCGTGTGTCTCCAAGTCTGTGCCCGACGAATCAAGTGGAATGATAGTTGATTTTTGTCCGCTCGCGGGATGCGGAACGATCTCTATATAGAATGAGTTTTGCCCGTCGTCCGAGCGCGGAGCAGCTAGTGCATCACTTTCCCGTACGTGAGATAGTTCATCGGGCTGCGAGCTCGTGCCGTGCATGCCTAGTAGTGTATCTGTGCGACAGTGTTGCTCAGCGTCAGGTTGTCAAGATCAGTTTTAATGGAATATTTACCTGATCCGGGCTCGATAGACGAATTGAAGGTGTCCGTTGCATCTAGGACTCGACTGGTGAGATTATTTTGCCACAATAATTGCTATTATTGCGTACCATTCATGTTGACAACTCCCAGCTGCGCAACATTCATGCTAACAGATCCCAGCTGCATCCCATGTCGTGCCTCCTGCTGCCGCCTGCACGCCGACTCATGATTGCGCATGCCACGGGCCTTCTTTATCTCATGACACCATCGGCATCGACGTTCGTTGCTGGTTAACAAAGGTGCTGGGAGGTGGATACTTGAATGCGGCATGGTCGAAGAGGTGCAAGATAGGGAGAAGATTACCAGCACGGTACAGATACGCGATAGGCACCGCATGATCGGGCATTGACAGACAGCACGAGGCATCAGATAAAATGATTTTTAATCACGAGATAAAAACAGCATTTATCTAAAAATGTTTGACAATAAGTACATCGTAATGAGCCCTACCACAAAGTTGCGCTGTCAACAATACATAAATTATTGACCGAGCACGAAATGACGCACCCAGGCACTACCGCCGTTTTCGACGTTTTTGCTTCGTGACTCGAACCGCACCATGTTTCTGAGCTGCAGTCGAGCTGCTTGCGATATTTGGTTCGCCGATCTCAATTCTCTTGCTCGGCGGAGG